AAATTTAGAATAATTATGATTTTTTATATTTTTTTATTGAATTAATAATTTTAGTGATTGTAAGTTTCTAGAATATTTTATACTAGAATAGGATCCACGTTAATACGCGGGAAAACACATTAAAATATTCATATCGAAATTTAATTTTTAATTAGTAATCCATTTAATTACAAATATATTTTGAAATGTTTAAACATGGATCTCAAACCATTAACGTTTAATTTATATCTTAATTCTCATGTACTAATTCATATTATGCATACCGAAAATATATATACATAAATAGAATTCAATTGATATTCTTAATAACAAAAAAAAATATTCTTACACATTCTGAATTTATATTAACTATATGATAAAATCATATAACAATTAAAATATTATAGAGTTAAATTATAAAACAATAAATTTATGTGAATAATCTCATAAAAATCTATTGAAATATATTAAAATATTTTTATCAAACATTATATAAAAATATATGATTGATAAATTTCATTGATGTCATCGGTTTATTTTTCATAGAGATCTCTACTCGTCAAATCTTACACTTTTGGATCTTAACAATAAATGTATTATTATTATTTTATACCATGTATAAATTTTTCATTCTATATAATTTCCTTTATTAACATTGAAAAGTATAAGTAGAAAATTTATATTTTCTTTGTAATATTTTATATCTATGTTTACAAGGTTATAGATTTTTTTCTTTCTTTGGTATGTTTGTGCATATGAACTTTAACATTGAGATTTCCATATTCTTTTTAATTTTTTTTTTCAATTTATAAAAAGTCTTTTGTTTTATCATACATTTGTTTCTAAATTTAAATTTCTATTTTCTCTCAAGATTTTTTTGTTATTATTGTTTATGGTCTCTCTATTTTATTTCCTAATTTTATTTGTATAATTTGTTTAAACTATTTTAGTTATTTTTTCCTAGCTATTTTGGATTATTAAAAATTTTTTTTTACTATTTGGTTAGTTGTTTTAACAATTATTTTGTTCGTTTCCATTTTTAATTTACCTTTTTAATAAATTTTAAA